AGGCCTCGCCCTCTCAATGAAGTGAACAGTACTGTGGCCCAGTCTGCCTTTGTCTCGGTGACTGATGCAGGGCAGCATCTCTCCACATGCTCTTTGGGCCAGTTTTCTCATTGTCTTGGTTTTTTTATTTTAATTGATTTACACAGAGACTTAAAGACAAATAGGTCCAGGGACCAGCAGTTATCGTAATGGCTATGTTGCTGGACTCCCATGTAGCCAACTGCGGTTTGAGTCCCGGACCCAGTGGCTTACACTCACTCCGGGCACGTGTGCGTGCGTGCCCAAGATCCCGAGAGGGGACTGGAGGAGAATGGACTGCGGCGTGGTCTTCTCCCCTGGGGGGTGATTTCTCGCTTTCTGTCTCTCTGTCTCTGTCTGGCGAGCACACACGCCCTATAGCAAAAACCTCTCAAAAAAAATAAATTAAAAAAAGACAAATAGGTCCAGTCAGCTTATGATGGAAACCAGCACATCTGCTGTTCCTTACCAGCCTCCCCGAAGAATCATTTGCAACAGATTTCATTAGTCTTCAGGTACCTCCCTCCATGTTTCTAAGTAATTTATAATGTTCTTCCTTGATTTATTGGTTTAAACATTTCTATTTACTTCTGTTTTGGTAGGTGAAGACTAAGCATTCTTAATATACTCATATATCCATCTCTTTATGCCACCCATCTCCCAAGCTGAGTTAAAGCTCAAGTTTTTATTAAATAAGTAGTCATTGTTTGCATTATGATGTCTCCAGACCTATTTACTTCTGAGCCTGGTAGTATAAAGTTGACCCTTGAACATGTCTGTAAATTGCATGGGTCACTTTTATGTAGATTTTTTTCAGTAAATATATTGGAAAATACAGTACAGTGTTGTAAGTGTATTTTATGATTTTCCTAATAATATTTCTTTTTCCTAGCTTACTTTATTGTAAGAATACATTACATAACATACAAAGTATGTGTTACTCGATTGTTCATGTTATCAAGAAGACTTCCAGTCAATAGTAGGCTATTAGTAATTAAGTGTGGGGAGAATTGAGAGTTACATAGTTTTGACAGCACAAAGGGTCAGCTCCCCAAATACCATGTTGTTCAAGGGTCAACTATGCTTGCTTTTTCTTTTTTTTTTTTTTAATTGCTAGAGAGCACATGCACTCTCCAGAGAAAGAGAAATGGGGTGGAGGGGAGAAGAGCACCCCTTCAACGAGGTGTGGTCATGCATAATCCTTCTCCATTTCAGCATCCTGTCAGGGTGTGGGGCACACACACATACACATACACCTTACATAACTTTCAAACCACTGGGGCCAGGATTCAAACCGTAGTCGGCCATGTGGGATCTGGCTTCCTTAACCAGTAGGGCTATGAGGCCAACTCTTTTATTATATAACTGTGTTTTCTGGACTATGTGATTGCCTTATCTTTGTATTTGTTTTATATTCTGTCTTCATAGGCTAATTTTTTCTAAATGATTATAAAATGTGTCACATACCTACCATCAAATGTCACATACCTACCTATCAAATGCTCTGTTGTGTCATGTAATCTGTCCATGCCCCATTTTTTCCAGAGCCTATGTCCCTCTGCTCCTGAAAGGCCAGTAGATACACTGCTGACATCCTGAATCTCTCTTCTGGCTTGGAGCTCCTATCTCCTGGCTCCCACATCTTGTTGTTCTTGGCTGTAAAAGAAAATATATATTCCATTAGCTTCCTAAAACAGGATTCGTGGGAGATAAGTTTCTACTCTGCCATCAAACTTTGTTGATAGTTTGGCTGGGTATGAGATCTGTTCAGTCATTTCTCTGCATTTTGAAGAACTTGCTTCTTTGATTTCTAACATACAGCATTGCTATGGAAAAGTTGGTCCTATTCTGACAACCAATTCTTTTTTTTTTTTCTTGTCTGCATGCTATAAAGGTTATCATTTTATTTCTGGGTCCAGTCTCCACATTTATTTGTTAGGCACTTGCAGGGCCCTTTCAGTCTAATGAACTGTGTACTCCAATTCATCATCCTCTCCCTTCTGTTTACTCTCTCTCCTTTGGAAGGACTTTGTTCTGGGGCAGAGTTCTGGGGTGGCAGGCAGCATGTGAGATGGAATACTGCCTCTGGTGCTTTAGGAAGGCTTTCAGTGCTGCCTTGAATGGGTCACCTTCTAGTCTTTTCGGAAACCAAAAGGTAAATTGTTCATGAGATCTTGGGTAATTCACACACAAAAAGAAAACAGCCCAGCTGTTGCAATGGCTTACCCTGAAAAGCGGACCCCCACCACACACACCTTTCATGCCAGCTATCTTACTTCCTGTTCCACTTACCTTGGCTGCAGTGGGGACTCACAGGCTCCCCAAGACATTGACACTGCCCCTGCAGACATGGGTAGAGGGGCCTCTGTTCTCCTTACCTGTGTGTGGCCTAGAGAAGATGCCATGAATGTGTGCTGGGTGTGTGCTGGGTGGTGGGGGGATTGGGAGGAATTGGCTTACAATTCCAGCCATAGGTCATTAGTCTTATGCTATCCAGAGCCTCCACCTGTGTATGTGCCCCTGGGTACCTGAGGCAGCCTGTGGTGAGGGTCCCTACCTGGCTGCTCTCCACAGACCTCTCCCTGCATTCCTGTATCAGCAGCCCTTTTTACCTTCTCTTTTTTTCCCCTAAAGTTTATTTATTTCATGAGCAAGAGACAGAAAGGAAGGCTGGCAGGAGGTCACAAGGCAGAACAGGAAAGCAGCAGGGATGGAACTGATCTAGGCTGGGCAGAGGTTCAGTCGCCATCAGACTGGGATGAAGAGGCCATGAGCTGGGCAGAGGTTCAGATACTATTATGCCAGGTGCATGAAATGATGGGGCCATGGGCTGGGCAGAGGCACAGATGTGCCAGGTCAGGGATGATGGTGCCATGGCAAAGCCAAGCAGAAGCCCTCACAGCCCTGGCCCACAATCAACCCCCTTTGCTCTCCCCCTGACTCTTGCACACTCCATATTGCACACCCCCAGAGTGCTGACCTCTGCTCCTTGGGATGCCACAGGGCCTTCCTGTCAGCCACAGTGGAGCTGGTGCCTCATGCTGCCCCTGCCTGCCCCCACCACCACCACCACTACTATTAAACTGGCACATGGGCTGGCCAGGTGGCTCCAGATATGTCCAGGGAACTCCAAAGACCAGAAGGCTTGTCTGCCTCTCCTGGAACCTGCCCACTGCACACACTGTCTCAGCCTGACCCAGGGACACCCACAGTGACCCAGTCTTCAAGGTCATAGGTTTCTGACAGAACTAACCCTACCATCAAACAGTTTCAGGGCAGCTTGCACCTTGACCATTCACATCAGCCAGCCTGCCTGTGTTATAACCTGCTCTGTGGCTCTGCCCCTGGCTCATGGACCACCTTCTCTGGTTCATGAGCAGGGTCGTCTGGAGAACAGGTGACCCTGTCTCCTCTGGGCAGAGGATGGTCTCTGTGAGAACACAGGGATATAGCTGAAGTTACTGCTGGGAGTGTGGCAGGGAGGGCCACTTGGAGTGCTCCCTAATTGAGGCTATTCCACTGTGCATGTGTCCTTGCCCCAGGAGTCACCTTTGGAGCCACCTTGGCGTCCTCATGACTCAGCTGGTAGGGATGCTGGCTGGGTTAGGTGGACACATGTTGTTTAAGCTCAAGCTTCATGCCAGGTGCTGGGAACTCAGACGTGAACTAGCTCAGGCAGTGTGGGGTGGGGGGGACAGGAGGGCACAGGGGATGTCAGGTGAATGACAACTGCCCTGTCTCTCTCTCAGCAGTCTCTGCACCTAAGACAACATTGCAAGCTGCAGAGGGACCCAACCTCCCTGAATAAGGTTTTTCTGGATGTGCCCCAGAGGCCTGGGTGGCCTGCAGTGGTGCCCCACCGCTTTTGTACTCACCAGGCCCCATTGCTGGTCCCCAGAGCGGCCTCACCACCTGGGAGATGTGCAGTCAATTCAGGACACCTGCCAGTGGACCCGAGAGGCACCTTGGCAGTGTGAGGACAATGCTGTGTAGGGTTACAGATGAGTAGGGGCCTTAACAAGGAGCGGCTGGCTGCACTTTCATGCTGCCACCTGGAAGGCTCCTGGGGGTGGGGAAGGCCCCTCCCGCAGCATCTCCCCCCAGCAGAGGGAGATGCTGAGGTGGCAGGCCCTGGGCTCCTAGGCTCGGGCCTGCCTGCTCCACTGAGCACAGCCCTGCAGGAGGAGCCCTCCAGGGGTAGCTTTGCCAACCACTCTGGCATTGATCCCCCAACACACTGGTCTTGCCCCAGGTACATCTCACCACAGGCACATCTGGCAGGCACCCCTACACATATCTCAGCCCCTGTTCACAGGTGGATACCCCCAGCTCACCCTGGGTGCCTGCCTCATAGAAGGGGGGTTGGAGGAGTAGAGCCTTCCTTGAGTCACTTTTCCCTTCATGCAGAGCAGGGGCATCTCAGGGGCAGCTGACTTCTGAGGTTGGACGTTACTGAGAAACAGGACAGATGATGGCTGTCTGAGGGCCCTGGGTCGGGTGGTCTGCCGGTGTCCCTGCCCTGCCATACCTCGGCAGAACACTGAGGGGTAGACCCTGTGACCTGGACTGTGGGAGGCCCTGGCTGGCTCCCTCCTCTGTACCTGTGGAGTAGCTCCTTAGGCAGCACCAGGCTGCCCCATTGACAGCTGTTGAGACCTGCTAATCCCAGGCCGCTAGGAAGTGTCTGGTGGCTCCATCCCCAGAAGGGGCAGGTCAGACGATTGTCCCTCACATGGGGCACTGCCAGGCACCATGGTGGTCACCCTGGGTTGTTGGTATGTCCTGGGCAGATCCCTTCACATCCCTGACCCTGGGTTTTCTCACTTGGAGATGGCAGTTCTGAGAGCTAAGCAGTGGTCAGTTGGCATCAGAAATGCAGTTGCTTGTCCAGGTCCTGTATCCAAGACCCCTGCAGGCGGGCGGCTCAGAGCAGCTCCCGCTCTGCCTTCATGCCCCTTCACGGCTGCCTCATCTCGTTGCAGGAAGTTCTACTACATCACCCTGCTGCGAGACCCCGTGTCGCGCTATCTGAGCGAGTGGCGGCATGTCCAGCGGGGCGCCACGTGGAAGACGTCACTGCACATGTGTGACGGGCGCACACCCACGCCCGAGGAGCTGCCGCCCTGCTATGAGGGCACGGACTGGTCGGGCTGCACGCTGCAGGAGTTCATGGACTGCCCCTACAACCTGGCCAACAACCGCCAAGTGCGCATGTTGGCCGACTTGAGCCTGGTTGGCTGCTACAACCTGTCCTTCATTCCTGAGGGCAAGCGGGCCCAGCTGCTGCTGGACAGCGCCAAGAAGAACCTGCGCGGCATGGCCTTCTTCGGCCTGACCGAGTTCCAGCGCAAGACGCAGTACCTGTTCGAGCGGACGTTCAACCTCAAGTTCATCCGGCCTTTCATGCAGTACAACAGCACGCGGGCGGGCGGTGTGGAGGTAGACGAAGACACCATCCGGCGCATCGAGGAGCTCAACGACCTGGACATGCAGCTCTATGACTACGCCAAGGACCTCTTCCAGCAGCGCTACCAGTACAAGCGGCAGCTGGAGCGCCGGGAGCAGCGTCTCAAGAGCCGCGAGGAGCGCCTGCTGCACCGCGCCAAGGAGGCGCTGCCGCGGGATGACGCCGAGGAGCCGGGCCGCGTGCCCACCGAGGACTACATGAGCCACATCATCGAGAAATGGTAGTGGCAGCAGCTGTGGGGCTTCTTAGGGGCGGGGCCGAGTGGGAGGGACAGACCAGCACACACAGGCCCACCCAAGACTGTCCTGGGGAGAGTCTCACACCTACAGGGCAGAAGGTAAATGCACCCTGAGAAAAACAGTGGGAAGGGTGGACGTAACAGGGTGGCTCTCACTGTTTCTCCCAGGCCGGTCTGAGGAAGCAGCTTGAACAGTCTGAGGGAAGTGGGCAAGGATGCCTCACATGGCAGGGCCCTGGGTGGGCCTCGACCCTGCTCTCCTGGCCCCCAGGTCACTGTCACAACAGCCACAGGTCTGAAAATGAGATAGGCAGTGGAGAGTGGACCTTCGGGGCCAGCAGTGAGCCCCAGACCAACTATGCACACACCGCTCCCTCTCGCCCGCTCTGTCCTTGCCAGCAGGGTTAGAGATCAGCTCCAAGCACCTTTCCTGCTCCAGGCCACCCTGCAGCCCCGTAGCCTCTGGTGGCCTAGAAACACACGCCACCCTTTGAGGGGTCCTCAGAACCAGAGCTCCCCTTCCACCTGTAGCTGACCAGGAGGTCAGGGCTACTTGTCTGAGGCAGAGAAGACCCGAGTCCAGCCTGAGAAGCCCAATCCTCCCTGCCCACAGTCATGACCCACAGTCTAGCTTCATGTTTTGGGTCTGAGACCAAAGCAGACTAGGGGTGCTCAGGCCATTCCCCCATCCTCAGACTGCGGAGGCTGTGGGGAAATGGGTCCCACACTACACCACCCCCTTCTGTGGGCTGAGCACCATGACTGGGGTACTACCACCTGTGTCCAAGCCTCCCCCAACTGGCCTTTGGGGTGACTGCCAGGCAGAGCATGCTCAGATAGGAGGGAAGTGAGGACCAAGAACTCTCTCTGCCTTTGCGATCCACTGGGATTTGAGAGCAGAATGCCCCCAGCCCCAGCACTGGGGCATTCAAGGGCTTGAATACCTCAGCTCCCACAATCCATGTGTAGAAGTCTGATCTAGATTCCTTGCGCTGGAGTGTGGACTCAGCTGCTACCCATGAGCCACACCAGGGCCACGGTGGTTCTGGGATGGGGACTCAGACCTTCGGGTTCTCACCTGAGGTTGAAAGGAGCTCCTCTGTTGCCCAGACACCCAGGCCTCCCTACCCAGCTCTCCCTGTATCTCCCTGTTCCCCGCCCCTTGTGGCCAGCCAGGCCTGTTCCCTGCAGCCCGCAGGCCAGCCGTGGCCCTACCAGAAGCCATGCTGCGTATCCGTTCTAAGTGCTTGCCCTGGGCCTCGTCCCCAGGCGCTCCAGGAGGCACACCCGAGCTGCAGGTGCCCTGGGCTCTGAGCAGGTACACGTGCCCAGAGGCTGAAGGCTGTCGCAGAGGCAGGGCCATGGGCACTGCAGGCCACCTGGTGAGTTTAGTGAGGCCAGGGGCCTCTTCCTGCCCCAGGTGTCACTCAGCCATCCCACCGTGGAGTGAGTCATCACAGGTGGCATGAGGCCTAGACCTCTGCAGCACGGAAGAGCTCAGGTGCCGCCAAGTGAGGCTGCTCGCCAAGCAGAGGCAGCTTGTCCCCTCAGCCCCCTACACTAACGCCTCACCTTGGGGTCCAAGGGAAGGGCATGAGCAGACTAGGGGCACCGTGCCAGCCCTGCAGGGCCACCTCCCAGGGTGGGTGTTACACAAGGCCAGCACAATGATGTGACTCTTTCAAAGGGGGGTCAAGGTCAGCGTAGGGGGCTGTGTTCTAACACTCGTCACTGGGGCAGGCAAGCTCCCAGGAGGAGGGTGGAATGTGTCCGGGGGACCCCTAGGGTCTTGCACAAGCCATGTGGGCACCATGGCCTCCTGTCAGGAGGTGGGCACCCAGCCAGCGACTGGCTCCAGGTGGCCCCTCGTCACCATGGGTTTCCTGTGTGCACGGGCTAAGCATAGGATCTGTTTTGTACATATTGGGATGTGTTGTAACTTATGCCCCGCTGCCCCAACTCACACGGAAGCACGGGTCTCTCCTTATCTCTGCTGCATTGGGGAAGGAGTTCCGTCTTGGGCTAGCACCAGGCCGAGGTGCCCAGAGATGGCAGCAGCTGGCAGTGCCCTTGGCCCCTGAGTGTCTAGCTGGCACTTCCTACTCATGCCGCCTGTGGCAGGGCACAGGTTCCTTGCTACACAGCATCTCCTAGGATGCCCTGGGCCAGGGCCTTCCCTCTCTGAGGACTCTGCCTACCGGGACCCTGCCTGGGCCTGAGAGGACAGCAGCCAGTGTTCTGAGATGATACCGCATTGCCAGGCAGCCACAGGCCTGTAAATGTCCTCTCCTGGAGCGGATGCCAGGGACGGCAGAATCATCCGAGCTGTGAGTTTGAACTGGAAGTGTTTAACTTGAATCCAGGAGCATTTAAAGCTTTATTTATTTATAGCTTCTTATTAAAAAAAAAAAAAAAAAGAAAAAGAAAACCAGGCAGCCACAGGCCTGTAAATGTCCTCTCCTGGAGCGGATGCCAGGGACGGCAGAATCATCCGAGCTGTGAGTTTGAACTGGAAGTGTTTAACTTGAATCCAGGAGCATTTAAAGCTTTATTTATTTATAGCTTCTTATTAAAAAAAAAAAAAAAAGAAAAAGAAAAAGAAAAAGTGTTGATAAGAAATCTTTTGGTTATTCATACAAAAAAAATGAGTTGTTGATGGAAAAGCAAGTCATAATCATTCATCGTTTTTGTCTAGGTCGAGAATGAATGTTAGCAGATGAAATAAACCCTGGAAAGGAGCCCTGTGTGCTGTGATCTGTGGCGCAGCGGCTCGCCGCACAGCTGTGCCCGCCAAGTATGTGCTGTGGTCTGTGGCACAGTGGCCCACTGCACAGCTGCACCTGCCCAGTGTGTGCCGTGGTCTGTGGCACAGAGCCCCGCCCACACCACAGCTGCCTGCCCAGTGCGATTTGCAAACAAGCATCTCCATCTCCAAGCGTGCGTGGGTAAGGAGCAGGCACGCGTCTGCAGATAGCCTTCTCCCTCGGGGCACACAGCCCAGGAAGAGAAGTGCCACGAAGTCAGGCATTGCACAAGTAGAAAGTCCAAGGCCAGGCTTGTGGCCTGGTAGTTAAAGCAGCTCTGCCCACCTAACCAACCCCACAGTTCGAGTCCTAGACCCAGCTGTTGAGAAACACACTGAGTGTATGTGTGTGTTTCCACAGATCACCGCAGGATGGAGAAGGAGAATGGATCACGGCGTGACCACACCCCAGTGTGGGCTGCTTTCCCTCTTCCTCTCGCTCTGTCATGTGCATGTGCCTTCTAGCCAAAATAAGTATAATGCACCTTTGTCATCACCGGAAGGGTAACACCTAATTCTCGTAATCACCTAATTCCAGTGCTTGGAAAGGTGACACCCTGCTGAAAACAAGGCAGAGAAAAATGCTGATGCCATTTGGTTACATTCTCAGTGACCCCTGAATTTTAATTTAGAGAGATTTTTCAATGACAAAGGATAGTTCGTGGACACTCACAAGCTTTTAGCCTGAATTTACCTGGAGGTAGTATTTTGTCACATTTTTTGTCCTGTACTCATGCTTTCCATTTTTCTCTTTACACTTATGCACATGCACACACAGGCACACATGTGTGCTTTCCTGAAACACGTGAATGGTCGTATCAACAGAGTATCTCCTAAGTAGTTCTTTTTTTTTTTTTTTTTTTTGAGAGGGTTTTGCTATAGGGCACATGCACTCGCCAGAAAGTCAGAGAGAGACAAAGAGACAGAAAGTGAGAAATCACCCCCCAGGGGGATGGCCACGCCGCAATCCCCTCTCCTCCATTATCCTCTCAGGATCTTGGGCACACACGCCCAGCGTGAGTTTAAGCCACCCGGTCTGGGACTGGAACCACGGTTGGCTACATGGGAATCCAGTGACATAGCCATTATACTAACTGCTGGTCCCTCTCCAAAGTACTTCTGCCTGGGCCTCCCAAGAGGATGTTTTCTGCAAACAGCCCATTGCCGCAGCCCCAGGACCTCATGTTGCCGTGGTGGTAGCCAGCACGCAGTCCCTGTCCGGGCTTTCCAGTTGTCCCACAGCATCTCCAGGGCGCTCCGTAACCCCAGCACCCACCTCTCCCATCTCCTTTAAGGGAGTCCCACACAGCCCTCCTTGGCTTTGCCTCTCTTAGCATTGACGTTTCTCTTTTTCATTTGCCACGGAACATGTGCACTCACCCAGACAGCGACAGAGGGAAAGTGAAAAAGCACACCCCAATGTGGAATGGTCATGCCGCAGTTTCTTCTCCATTTCTCCTCAGGATTTTGGGCACACACAAACACACATTCAGCGTGTTTTTCAAGCCTCCAGGTCCAGGAGTCGAACTATACAGTAGGCCACGTGGGATCCAGCCACTTTAACCACCATGCCACACTGGCCCGAAATTTCTGACTAACACAGGCCATTTGTCTCTAATAGGTCTACATGTGTCTGTTTTCACATAACCAGATCCTCTTGGCCTGCGTGCTGTACAGGGGAGGCCGTTCTCTGCTTTTGTTGATTAGGTTATTCTCTGTCCGTGAAGCAGGGAGAAGCCTGCACACACACACCCCCCACACACACACACACACACATACACCTACTCCACCACCGTCTTCCCCACCTGGGCAGCAGCGAGCCTTGCCTTGAGCCCAACCCTCTCCCTCTCTCTCTTGCTCTGGCGTGTACATGCAGGAGACAGGGTGGCACTGACCCAGGAGTGAATGTTGATGCTTCCTGGTGACCTGCGTTTCTGGGGAGGTCAAGGCAGGAGCAGAGCAGGAGCAGAACTGAGCTGCCCAGCCTCAAACTGGTGAAAGCCTCACCTTGTAACCCGGGAGCTGTTGTGGGGCAGAGATGAAAACGCCTCCCTGGAAAATGAAAGGCTTTTTGTCTTCCAGCTTGTGCCCTTCCTTTAAAGTTGAAGGGCACTTTATAGGACCAGCAGGTAGCTTAGTGGGTAAGGCACTGGACTCTCACATGGTGAACCGTGGTTCTAGTCATGGAGCCAGCAGCTTGAAAGTCATACTGGGCATGTGTGTCAAAAATCCCAGGACAATGAAGAAGAGACTGTGGTGGGGCCATCACCCCACCCCACTGGGGAAATGATTTTTCACTTTTCCTTCTCACATGTCTCCCTGGTGAGTGCACACACCCTATGGCAAAAACCTTGGGAGGAGGAGTTGAAGGGCACTTGAAGTCTACCCAAACCAAAGACCTGCCTGACTCCCTGCTGCCCCCTGCTGAGAGGGTGCCCTGAATGGTCAAGCCCCCCACCACCCCACCACCCACTCCCACCCCCGTTCTCCGAAGGCCCCCAGGCTCCTCCCCTACTACTGGGGAAGGTACCTCTGACCATACTCCCCAGGTCTCTGGGGTCGGACCAGGCAGCCCCTCTCCCTGCCCCCTTGTGGCCAGTACCACCCAGCATGGGTGTACCACCCTCTATACCCAACACTCCAGCCGTGACCAGCAGCTCCTGTGTCCCCAGCTGGGCCTGCTCCCTGCAGTCCTCACCCAGGGCTATGGGGCCAGCACCTGGTACATTGCTTAGTGAGGGGTTCCTCTGCACACAGTGCCCCTCCTTTCTTTCTTGGGGAAACAGGGTCCCAGCCCCCTGCCAGATGTGTTCTCATAGGTGCTTAACTTGGGACCTAAGGGCTTCTGGTCCCTTGCCCAGTGACACGAAGGAGCCAACTTCTCAAGATGGGAGCTCCAGGTCCCCTCTTGGGAGCATGTACCAGACCTCAATGACCTTCGGGACCAGAAGGCTCTGGGAAGACACAGCTGGGTGCCTTTTCCCAAGAGAGCTTCACATCAGGGGTCCAAGTAGAACCCCTGGCTACAGGGGCCTGAACTGGGACCCCTCAACATGTTGAAGGAACAGAGAAACTTGAGGACTCATTTCGTTGTTAGATCGGAGTTCAGATTCAACCAGACCGCTGACCTGCTGTTAGTCTCCAGCACCAACATGGACAGACCACCAGGAGATTTTGTTTACTCGAAGCACAGAGTCCCGGCCATCCCCAGTCTACCATATAAGTCCTTCTCCTCTGTCCCCTTTCCCTCCCCAGAGGGCCGTGACCGTTCTCCGTCCACCTGCTGACTCCAGGAGTTGTGGAGTGGGGCTCCTGTTCTGCTTCTCTCGGAAGAGTCCAGGTACCCACATGACTCCAGTTTCCTGCATGCTGGCTATTCCCCACTCAGCCCACCCAGGCCTGTGGCCTCTCAGTCCCAGCCTCAGGCTTCAGGGGACCCTGGGTTCCTGGGGCAGATACAAAGGACAGTCTGAATTCACACAGCACTGCTCAAACTTGCTCAGAAATTGCCCTTTTTAAAGAAACTACTCACATCCCGACTCTTCACTCCCCTTCCTCTAAATGTGATCTGCATTTCTTTTCATTTGTCCCCTCACGTCTCCTGTCTCAGCTGGTCTGAACTGCTCTGGGAGAGCTCCATCCTCTGCTGCCACCCCTCTCTGGGTGGCATTGGGGTCGAGGACACACCCATCTCCTATTGGGGATGAGGCCACACATGGTTCCCCTGCCAGCCAGGGTGCCAGACTCTGTTCTCAGCAACTCCACCGCAGGGGTGCCTAGAGCCATGGAAACTCAGTGTCCACCTTCTTGGCCCAGACAAGGCACAGAGACCCCCTCCTGGGGCCCAGTCTGTCCCCTTTGAGGTGAGCCCCCACCTCACGGCAGGTCCTAGCCATCCCTGGACGGGCGTCCTGCTGACTGTGGGAGGCCTGCTCTGTGGAGTTGCCACACTGCCACTGCACACCACAGTACTGGCCCCCCTGCTAGACCCCAGCTCCCATTTCCAACAGAGGCTGCATGGCCTACCTGGCTCTCCCAAGCCCAGGCATGGGTGCCCAGTTCTGAACCCCGTGCCACCCCCTTCCATGCCTTGAGAGCTCCCCACTCCTCAGCCACCGTCCCTTTGCAGCTTCTCACTGCCCTGAACCCCTGCCCACTCTGGCTCATGGAGGAAGCCTAAGGACTTTGGAAAGCACTTTTCTTTCTCAAACAAAAAGCCAAGCATTCAAGTCCAGCCTCTCCACCACCAAGCAGCCAACTGAGCAAGGCCTCTTTGTTCCCCAAGGCCCGAAGGCTAATTCTGCCAGGGCTCCAGCCCATGCCGTTTGTGAGCCACTAGCCAATGAGGGCTTGTTCTCTCTGGGCGACTACTCCAGGGAGCTGCGCAGAGAAGGGAAGAGGCTGTGGGCCCTTGGCTCTGGCAGTAGGTTTCCAGAGAGCTGCACTCAGAGCCCAACAAAGGGCCACCTTTCCTTAACTCACATTCTTCCTTAGATGGAAACAGCTAAAAGTGCAGCCTGAACCTGTGTTTCCAGAGGCACCACACCCCCGTGGTCTAAAACCACTACCAGTCTCCAGCCTGTGCTCCACACAGGAAGTGATTGTTCCCCTTCAGAGGAT